CCCGGGAAGCCGCGGCGGCTTACAGCAGCTCCTTGAACCTTTCTGCTAACGGGAGGGAGCAGTACAGCAGGGGTTTCGGCAGCTCCTATTCCAGCCCTTATCCGGCTTACATGAGCCCCGAAATGGCCACGACTTGGACTTCTTCACCCTTCGACAGCCCCATGCTGCACAACCTGCAGAGCCGAGGGACGCCCGCAGCCGCCCGGCACGCCAATATAGGTGAGCGCAGCCAGGGTTGGGATAGGGGAGGGAGGGTCTCACCCCACCGCCCCTCCAAATTTTTGTGCACGCACCCCTCTTTGGGTAGGACAAGGAGGCGCGAAGGGCAGGAGGGAGAAATTCGGTGTATTCGGGATGTCGCTGCTGGAGCCGACTGTCCGGCTGCAAAACACGGGGGGTCCCCGCGGTGCTGTGGTTGCTCCCCCCGCACACACATTTTGTCTGCAAAACCGTCATTTCAAAATATCCTCAAGGACCACAGTTTCCGAAAAAATAAATATAATTTAAGGTAGGCCTGGAGTGGCAAGAAATGATGTGTTGAGTTCCAGCGCAAAGGCCTGCTGGCTCCACAAATATCTCCGCGGCGATTTAGGGGCCGCGATGGGGATGACCGCGGTGTGCAGGACCACGATGCTCTGTGGGCATGCAGGCAGCCCCTTCCCCGGCTTGCTTTAGGTGTAAAATGGGGAAAAATGTTTGGAAAATGGGGAAATCAAAGTTTGGTCCATGAATCTCAGATCTTCCCTTTGGGCTGGTTTATGTTACGTCTTTTTTTTTTTTTTTTTTTTTAATTCTTGGAAAGGTCGGTTAGGCCAGAAAAAGGGAAAGCGAAGGGAAATTTGGCGCTGGTGGGGGAGAAACGACTGAGAAGGAGAAAAAGAAATGCATCCGCATTTATTATCGTGCTTTTGGGGGGGACTCACAGACACATCTGAAGCACTCAGAGCCTTGTATTTCAGGGTCTCATTGCCCCCCAAAATGATCTCTTGTGCCCATCCTGATCGTGGAGCCTTTCATTTCATTAAGCGTCCTGGCACCCTACGACCAGAATCGGCCTGAACGGCTTAAAATATCACTTTTTTTATTTTGTACGGTGGAAGAGGGAGAGAAATGCAGGGCACATCTTTGCATCGAGGTTTCATAACCCCTTTTTTCCTCCCCGCCTTCTCTCCATGAAGGTATTTCTGTCGGCGTCAGGGTCGGGGTTAACAAAGAAAATGACTCAAATTTGTCTGTAGATAACGTTTTAAGATTGCGTTCTTTAACCTGAATTTTGGAGGGCAATTTTTCCATCGTGTCTAGCAAGATTTGCTTTATCTCTAGCATTATTTTAAGATGTTACAAAAAGGAAAGTTGTGCGTCGGTGAAGGCTTGGCCTTGCCAATGCCTTTTGCTTTTCTTTAGGCATTCTGAAATTGCTTAAAATGGGGAGCGGGTTATCTTTAAGGATAAAGTTTTGGTCAACCAGGCAATGTTTTTGGGAAGCCTTGGGAAGGTAGAAAGTGTAGGAAAAAAGCAGGATGAATTGAATAATCAAATAATAATTTAATATTATCAACGAGGACATGCGCATTCGTATTTGACTACCGTGCCTTCTCTTCCTTGGGGAAAAAAATATCACCTTTTTGCAGTGCTCTCAAAAGAGCTCTTAGTAATATTAATAACTTAAAACCAAAATAATGCAAATAAAGAATTGCAGTTGTAGAAATAGCCGGCAGCTTTTAAGGTGCCAGAGATTGAGCGTAATGATTTGGGGGTTTCGAGCCCTGTGTTAAGCGTCAGTTTGCGTTGCAGGTCTCTCAGGCTGCCTTTTGGTGGCAAAAAGTGCTTTTTTATCTGGGCTCTTAAATAGTACGGGGAAGAGGGGATGCCTTGAGCCAGTCCAGAAAACGTTAGCGGTTGCTAACGAAGGAGGACCCATTTCTGTCGCCAGGTCCCGATTCGGGTGCTGGATTCACGGCGTCGCCTCCCAAATCGCCGAAACCAGGGGATTTATTAGCGTGGGTCTAATTACACCTCTGTCTTGAATGTGGAAACAGCGCTGGTTTTAAACAAAAAAATGCTCCGTTTATGGTAAAAAAACCCAAACCAACACATTGCCTCAAACAAAAACTTGCCTGAAAGCTGGTGAGTTTTAAATTCAGGATTAAAATGGTTGTGGGGATTTTTTGGAAGGCAGCTCCCCCAGAAAGTAGTTTTAAGGTCCAGACCTGCCCCTTTCCCTCTTTTCCCCGAGCCGGGACGCGGCCGCTGCCGGGCTGCTCCCAGCTGGGTCCCTTCTGGACGCCGGGGCGATGCTTTGCACGGGCTGCTGGTATCCAGGGGGTTGCACGAAGCACATAAAGGCTGGCTGGTGGTTTCTGAGCAGGGAAAAGTTTATTGGTTTGTTGTTTTTTTTTTTAAGAGCGAGAGCGAAAAGCCTTGATGGGCTGAAAAAGTGAAGGCACTGAAAGATGTAGTGTGTGTGGGGGAAACACCGTCGTGGACTGTACCCATCACAGGCGCACTTTAATAACACATCCCAACCGGGCTCAGCATCCGAGCAGTCCCTGGCACGGTGGAGCCCAGACTCCTTCCTTTGCCTTTCCTTAGGACTAAAGATAATTTTATTCTCGGCACAATGAGGCATTTCAAGGTGGAAACGCAATCCTTCGCGCAAGGCTATACTAAATCAAGCGATTTTTGCGACGCTCTCATTTTCCTCCAGTGATTTTGCTTCCTGGAGAATCGTCATCTTTGAATAGCGCTGATTGAGGAACACCCCTGGGAGCATTGGAATATTAATTATTATGATATTTTAATAGCGAAGATCAAGTCTATGCAGGTGTAGCTGGGTATGCAGACACAGACGTACAGTCTACGCAATTGGGCATGGTGGTTTTTTCCCCACTCTAAAGCAATGAACTGGGGAAAGAAGTTTAGTAAAAATGTATTCAAAGAAAATGATACTAAAAGAAATAAAGATCTTCTTGTTTTTCCCTATTAAGAGGAATTTTGGCCTGGGTTAAAACGTGCCAATGCAGCGCTGTGGAATAAAGCACTGGGAAGGATGGGTGCGTAAATCACATGGGCCTATTTGAAAAACTTTCCCCGGTGTGAGTTCAAAATGCCAAATTTGGGCTTCTCAGGGTAAGTTTGGCGAATGATTTCATTACCCTGAAGGGCAGGATCAGACCCTGCGGTCGAGGCCGTGAACTTGCTGCAGGCATTTGCCTGGGATGGCGTTACAGTGAATTCCCGACTTAATGAGGCATGAAAAGGACCCGCTGCAAAGTCCCCTTTCAGGAGATTTCCCTGCCAGTGCCAAAAAACCTCTTGAAATCTGTCCAAAAATTAGTAGCTTGCTCCTTCCCCCTTCCCCAGGCAGAGGGGAGCGGGGATGAAGGGTGGCACGGGAGCCCGAGCGCATCCAGCCCGCTGCCGCTTGCTGCCTCCTGATGTTTCCAGGCTGGTGATGGAGGGCCAGATCCTGGTTTGCCATCCCCACCGCCTACGATTTTGCTTTTCGCAAAAAAAAGCAGCAGGGGTTTTTCTTTTTGCTGTGGCGTCGAGGAGGTTGATGTGGTTGGGAGGAAATCGGGGCGAGGGGCTATGGGCATTTCTGAGGGGTGCTCTGTATTTTGTTTTGACTAAGTCAAAGTCAGGGTTCCCCGAACAGGCACCGTTTGAACACGGCAGCAGCATTTGGGAAGATCAAAGCCTGGAGCAGACGTTAGGTTGGAAAATGTCTTCTCTACTGCTGGCGGGGGGAGAGATTGTGAACCAGATCTTAAGCTTTCCCATAGGGATGCTAAGAGATTTGCCCTGTAGCATCCCCAGGGCCCGCGTTTCCAGTAACTCACCGGCATTTGTTACAACCCTCCGCCCTACAAGCAGCCCCTGACCTTCCCCGTGCACCTAAAGACAAGGTGAGGGTGATGGGGGGAGCCCAGCATCTCTGCTGTCCCTGCCCTCCGAGGGATGGGGCCGGAGGACGGAGGGATGGGACCACAGGACGTGTCTGCATTTTGCACGGGTACCTACATCCCCCCTTTTGCAAGCGGTTGCATTTCTCACCTCGGCTCCGCCGGTGGGGAACGTTGGCCCAAGGCTTTGTTCGCCCCCCTCCTCCCGCGGGTTTCAAACCGCCTTCTGCTCTCCCGCCTAATTTAATTGTCACCGGTCAGTCTGGGATTTGGGATGAAACCCACAGAATTAGGGGCTACAAGATTAAGCTCAAACACACAACTGTTTTTAAGCCCCCAAGTCCCCAGACAGTATATTTTAAATGATAAATAAAGCAAAAATAATAATAAAAATATCACCATCACCGGCACTATATCATCCTTATTAATAATACAGTTCCTTCATTGTAAACTGCACTTTATTACCAAACACAAATGCACATGTTGCATAGAACAGCCACGGTGTGATATATAATACATTATAAATGCTTGTGAATTTTTGTAAAGCAGTAAAACTTAAAGCAGTGGATAGTGGCCCTGAATCTCAGGCTTTATTAAGCCAGGATTAATTATTTTTCTCCTCCACACATGCGCTCATGTCCGTATCTGTTCCTGTAAAAATAACAGTGGTTTTTTGGTTTTTTTTTGTTTTTTTTTTTTAAGAGACAGCCTGTATTTTGCTCTTTCTGTATTTACTTCCATCAGTTTGGGAGGAAAGAGGTGAAATCCTTCGAAACAGATGAGGGTTTATTTGGTGTTCCCAAAGGAAATTTGACCCGATCCTGCTGCCTCCGTGCTCCTCTGATGATGGAGAAACCTTGGCTCGGCAGGCAGAGAGGGGCTCCCCAAAGTTGGTTATCCCAAACACAGCTGGGTATTTTGAACGGGCAAACCATATTGCTCCCGATAGCTGTAAAATTAAGGATGCCTTGGGAGAAAAAAAAAAAAAACAAACCACCAAGAAAGCACCAACCAGCAAATAAAATCCCAAATTGGGTGAAAAAGCAGCAGCGCAGTGAGACGAGAAAGTTTTTGTGCCTTGAAGGTCAGCAGCCTGTTGTTGCTGGTGGGGTGGGATGTGTGCAGGGGCTGTTAAAATAACGGTGAAAAAATGCAATTTTAATGAAAATGCAATTAAAAAAACCTTGATAGCACAGTCTCGAAACCTGCAAAGACCTTGTTTCTCATCGACACAGAGCTCAGGGCTGAAATTTTTGTTCCTTGAGGCCCCCAGAGCTTTGCATGTGTAGGAAAAAAGGATGCAAACATAATAAA